TGTGCTGTTAAGGTCATTTGGCAGCCATATTTCATTGGGTTAACTAAAAAAATAATAATCTAGACCCGGAATCCTGAATGAATACAGAAATTTGCTAAGAAGACGTGCAGAGATTGAGTTAACTTCCCTTATAAACTATTAATTTGTTTTGTGATCAAATCAGAAGGTGCTTCTTATCCTCTCCTCTCTGCAGAGTCCTGCAGTTTTAATAAACACAGCAGGAAAACAGGGATGATATTCCCCTCGGAATCCAAAACTCCTGCATTCACCGGGAAAGCCCGCCGTCTGTTTGCCGGTGAAAAACTCCGCTGGAAAAATCCCTGCGCTTCCCTCCCAGAGGGGCGCGCGCTTGGAGGAGAGCAGCCACCGGCACACGCGCGGGAAGCCCCGTGCAGGGCAACAGGAGACAAGATAAATGATAAGCCATTTATGGGGCTTCCCGAAGTCTCTTTGTATGCTGATACTTAAAAATAAAACGCCTCATTTTCACCGCTTTTAATTCCATACATATCACGCGCGTGTTAGGCACATGGTAACGTGCTTGACAAGCTCTGTGGCATGTCTGCCCACGCAGCTCATACCACTTTCATACAGCAACAGTGAAGTCTGCTCCACACTCCCCCTAGCGGTCCCTTAAATTACTACACCATTTCTTGTAAATGCTCCACTTCTCAAAGCCTCCGCTGTTTATACTAAAGGGCTTGTCTCGTGCACACGTTTGTCGTGCCAGTGGCTGTCGGATGACCTGACCCATTTCAATGTACACCTTTTCTCATGCAAAGCTGTCATTTATAACATGACGTTTATAAAATATTACACAAACACCCACGTTTTGTTATTCATAGCCTATTATAAAGACCACGATTCTGAGGTGGTTTCAGCTTTTGCAAAGTAAATAAGCAACGTGAGGCATTTCAATGCAGGGTTATGGACATTTGCAATAAAATTAAATCGGAATATGACAAGTCATATATGTTTTTTATACTTCTGACTACGTGCAGCAGCCACCGTGTTGATAATATTAACTTCCTTCTTGCCATCAACAGTGTGATTTCTCGGAAACCGGTCCACTGCTGCACAGAAAGGCTCAGAGCGCATGCGCTTACTGTAAAAAATATTTGCTTGGTAAATAACAATAACCATTTGATTTCAATTCAGTTTATTTATCAAGCGCCAATTCACAACATTAGTCGTCTCAGGGCACTGAACAGAAACATTCACATACATAAAAATCAACTAATAACAATATTTAGCACAGTTTAAGGCATTTAAAAAAAAAGGTGATGTAACTGCATGCAAACATGCGTTTATAAATATGTGTTTTGTGCAAGTAATGCGATATTTGTTGTGAAAGTTTAATTATTTTGTATTTATTTTAGGTTATGTTTTTTTCTAGACCTTGGCAAAAATATGCAATCCACCGTTAAAAGAATGAAAATTCCCACACAGCATGGGTCAGTTTGCTATAATACATCCCCACAGAAGCTGTCAATGAACAATCCTGAGAGAATAGAGTTTTTTTTTTTTTTCTGCCCGTGCAGATATTTCTTACAGTGCGCAGAAGCTGATGGGGAATACCCAGTCTGCGCGTAACAGGAGCCAGGCGTTATATAAGGAGTTCACTCCCAGCACTGGCACGAGTCAGTTCAAGAAAGCTCTCAAAGAGGATAACTTACTGACGAGGACTAACTGCTCTACAACAAACTCACAACTACTAGATCGGAATAATTCTTTTGCATCTTTCAATCTCGGATAACAGAGAAAGCTGAATCTGTAAGTGGTTTTTTTTTTATTGCCGTAAATAGGAATTTTGCACGTTTTCCTTTTTTTTATTGTTTATGTTGTTTCCTTTGTTTAACATAAGTAGTAGAGATAGAGTAACTTCATAGCTCTGCTTGCTTTACTTTTATTTATGGATATCAGCTGAGGAAACTGTTGTGCATCAAACGCATTCATGCGCAAATTTGGCTCAAGTCCGCAAATCTGCACTAAATTTAAACTCCACTTTTTATTTATTCCATTTTTATTACAAAGAAAACTCGAAGGTTAATTTTAAGGTTTAAAGTTCAAATATTTCCAGTCAGCGGGCATTTTATGGTCGGTTGGCACGCTCACTCCAACGCGCAAACGCCCCCTTTTTACGCGCCCTCCTCATCCGGGTGAACTCCTCCTCACCTCTCTGCGCGGCCAGCAGAGCAGCTATAAATCTTAGCTGAGGCGGATGTGCGGCTTCAATTGCTCTCATATCAAACTCTGGAAGGTCTCACTTGTCTAAAGCCTCCTTTCCTTCTGTTGCTGCATATTTTAGGCAAACATGCCAGTGTCAAGAATGAGGATGAGGCCATGGCTTGAGAAGATGATCGACTCCAACGCCATCTCCGGCCTGAACTGGGTGGATAAGGTGAGAGTTTGCAATAAGTTTAATGTGATTTACTGTAATTGTACTGGTGGTATTTTAAAGGGTCATCTCTGCAAGGTGGCATGCATCTTTCGTGCATGCTACTGGAGGAAGTTTTATGTTGCAGCTTTGCAAAGCAGAAAAATGTTTTAGGAAATATTTGGTGACAGAAGCGATGTGCCGACAAGAAGTAATAATGCAGTTTATCTGGATTTGGCAGGAAACTCGTTCTGTTCAGCCAAAGTTCAAGTGGGACATTGATTCAACAAGCTGAAACTATTTTGTTGTGCTTTTATTCTGCTGCAATTTTGCAACTCAAATCAAATGTTGACATATTTAAGAAAAAGTGGCACTTTGGTGAAAATCTAAAAAGTTTTTCCTATTTAATTTTATTTTAAGGTGAGCGTTCTAAGCCAACATTTCTTGTTTATTACAGGACAGGACGATGTTCTCGATTCCGTGGAAACACGCCGCTCGACACGGCTGGGAATTAGACAAAGACGCGTGTCTGTTCAAAGAATGGGCCATTCACACAGGTGAGCTGGCATGAAGAGACACGCCCGCTCAGCATAATCAAGACCAAAAAAAAAAAGGATATAAAATATACTAAATTCATGTTCATTTGCTCTCTGCAGGGAAATACGTTCCAGGACAGGCCTGTGATCCCAAAACATGGAAAGCCAACTTCCGCTGCGCGATGAACTCCCTGCCTGACATCGAGGAGGTGAAGGACAGGAGCGTCAACAAAGGCCACCAAGCCATGCGTGTCTTCAGGATGCTGCCTGCTGCTCCCAAAGGCAGAGGTGAGACCCCTTCAAAGTAATTTCATTTTTTCTAAACTCGCAAAGTAAGAACTTTAAGTAAGTGATCAAAATCTTTTTCTTCCTCCCTGTGCAGACAAACGAAGCAAAGTGAGGGAAACCAAGTCAAGGAAGAAGGTGAATGTTGTGTTATGGCCACAGTGGCTCCTGTTTTCATGTAATATTAGTTTTAGTCAAATGATGCCACATTCACACTAACCCAGATGAAGCTATATGTAAATAGTACCTATCCAGGATATGCAAGTTACATTTAGGTTGTATTTGCTTAGGTTTTGCTTTACAAAACCCACTGAAAGTGTCTTTTAATCATCTCTGCAGAGCCAACCCGTCAAGATAAAGGAAGACTCAGACTACAGTGACATTGTGTCCCCCATGAACGTGCCCCCACCTGAAGAGACCATGTCCACTCAAGAAAACAGAGTTGACAGCACAGTGCACATGGACCAGGAAGGTGAGCAAGAAACTTTCCAAAACATTGAGCAGAAACTCTTAAAAAAAATGCAGATTTACTTCGAGATGGATTCGACACTTTTTTTTTTAAAAACAAGCGCACTCATTTTGTCGTTGCAGATTTCTCATTCGTGGCTCAATCCGAAGTTCCAGATTGGTCCCTTTCAGTTGAGATCGGGCCTGACGTTTTATCTCACAGATTTGAAGTTTCCCCTGATCACAGCCCTGGTAAGACAAACACGCTTGCCTTAAATCGATAAATAAATATTTGCACATTGGAGCAGCACACTCATGTCATTTTCTTCTTCTCCCCTTGATTCTTCAACGTGATCCAACAGATTACGAATATCCTCAAGACATCATTGAGGTAAGCAAGGCTTTCAGGTCTTATTATGAGCTGCATGCAGTTGTCATTGACAGGAATACCCATGTTTGTCTTGCTCTGCCTGTTTGGCTCTTTTAGTAATAACCAAAACAATAAGGCTAACTGGTAAAGAGTACTTGATGTCGAATAGCTCCAGTTGGGCAAAATCACTCAATCTGGTGTCACTCTTACAGATTTGCCAGCAGCTTGAGAAAGACTCACTATGGATGTACAATTCAGACGGCAAGGGGTTCCTGAGCAATGAAGCTTGCACGAGTCCAGGGAGCCAGTGGAGTGAATCTTCCTCAGGTAAATATTGTTAGTTGACAGTTTAGATGGATGAGTAAATCTTTTTCTTAATGGTTAAGGTTTGAGAGTGAATTTAGGGTGCAGCTAGCTTAAATTAAACAAGCCCACGTCTCCAATTGCATCTGCATCCTATTGTTGGCTCACTTTGGACTGTTGTGCTTGTTTGCAGTCGAAGAAGTAGACGACACGCCACAGTACACAACTTTGGGCACAGACTTCACAAACTCCACAGACGACTTCTGGGACAGTTTGTGTCAGCAGATCCCTCACCTGTAAAGTCCCCAACACTTGGACAGGACAGTTCTTTGACACTTTGGACTTTTGCAAGAGCGCTTCCTGACCCCCCCCCCCCCCCCCCCTATCTGAGACCAAATGTCAAGCCAGTGGCTCTCTGGTTTCGACACATTAAGCTAAACCACCACCTGTTCTGGACTACTGTGAAGTTATGAAGAAAGAGCACGCCCCGAGGAATACACATGCTGTGCGTTGTCTATGTTTTTGGCTGGTTCAAAGCATTTTTGGTGTTCGCTCGGAGTTGTAATTGTACAAAATCTTTTTTTTTTTTGGCTCGAACAGGGCATTACAATGTTATCCACAACCGTCAATAACCTGGAGGTATATCTACCTCAAGTGCAAGTAGGCTGGCATTAGTTGAAAATGCTAAATCGTACTGCTCGTAGCATTTTAGCATTTGGCAAGTAGTTCATGTGTGCAGGCAAAAAAACGGTCACATTCATTATTTTCCGTTAAATGTACCAGTGAATTAAAAAAAACGGGGTTTCTTCCATCATAACTATCTACGGTCTGTCAACTTGTGGTGAAAGCACTTACTGGTGTTTGCTTTATGTTTGAGATATTTGTATATATTTGTGTTTTTTTTTAATAAAATGAAAAAATAATTTTAAAATATCAATGACTGCTGACTGATGAAAGTGTTTTGTTATGCTACGAAACATGACATTTCTAGCTAACATTTAAGCCTCGGTAAAACTTAGCCAAAAGAACTAAAAACAGCCCTGGAGAAGTTTTATTAAGCGATAGGCAAAAAACAAAAGTAGCTGAAGCCGCAAAGTAAAAAAAAAAATAAAATAAAAATAAAGAATTGTCTTGGTTTTACTCTCATTTTCAATAAAAAACAAAATACGTAAAAGCATTTAAAATTACATTATTTTCAACAGTATTACGAGGGAGATTAGTAGTCAAGTCAAATTTCTTTGTAAAGCACATTTAAAACATCAACTGTTACCAAAGTGCTTATTAGAATCAAATTAGATCATTCTTACTAATTCTCCTTTTAGTTGACTAAAGGGCTTTTTCATTATTTTGTTCCTCTTCAGGGTTCCTCTATAATCCCCGATGCTTATGAGGAAACAGTTTGTGCAATGTGCTGCCCTGCATGCTGGCAACAAGCATGAATAAGAATATTCATCCATTGGCGGGGTGCTTAGCTCTAGCCGTCATAGTGCAAGAGGCGGAGTCCACCCTGGACAGGTCACAAGTCCATCACAGGGACACGTAGAGACAAATCAGACAACTATTTACACTTTCACGCACATTTAGAGACAATTTAGTGTCACCAATTAACCCAGCGTGCAGGTTTTTGGTTTGTGGGAGGAAACCATGGTACCTGGAAAAAACCTATGCATGCACAAACACCATAAATCAGGAATTTATCTTTAATAATTACAACTCTTCTTTTATGAACATCTGCGATGGCAGATATTTAGATTATTTAATTTGCTTTCTACTTCTTACTTTGACTTTTCAAGTTTGTCCAAGTGTTTGTGATTTGTTGTTAGCTCCATTATTACTAAATCTTGAAGGTGTGTCTCAGTCACTTGGTTCATGGGAATTGTATGAGACTGAATAGCAGGAAACAGGTGGGATCTTGGATCAATAAACAAGTCTATTTGGTTTAGGTCATTGCTTTTAGAGTTACTGTCAAAGCAAGAAATTGTGAGCGCATGCTATTTAAGCACCTGAGGCTTGGATTGAAAGTTGGGTAAACATATTTACACGATGTCATGTGACTTCTCTGAAGCCTACTGAGGGGAAACTCATGTTTCCTGCAAACTGTTGAATTAAAGCAAAATAAATGGTTAAAGTTTTAATGTTTGGACACAAAAAAAAGATGTTTCTACTGATAGTGATGGTTTGGTTTAGTACTTCCCAAATTTTGAGCTTCAAACCCATAAAAACTGAGTGTTTGACTCTTGTACTTGTACGTAAACATCGCAACGAGGACAACGAAACAAGAGAATAATGACTACCATCACGATCTGTGGTTTTGAACCCAGAGTGCAGACAGAGGCAGGGAACTCGAAGGTAAAATAAAGAAATCTATTTATTAACCAAGAAAACAAAAGGCTGACGTGGCTGAAAACTTACGTGGAAATAACCAGGAGCAGGGTGACACGAAGGACGACAGGGCATGACAGCTTTAGGAGGACAATCCAAGGAGAAATAACAAAGTGACACAGAACTTAAAGAGGACACTAACGAGACACAATGATGAACACCTGGGGTGACTGGGATTGAGGACAGATGAGACCAGAGCTGGCAACGTGAGGGAAGAAACACTGAGGAAGACAGGACTGAAGACACAAGAAAACACAGATCCTCTCAACTACAACCACAATTCGACTATTATAAACATATTAACTTATACTAAAACAATTTCCCTTAAAAAAAAATTGCTGTCAGCATTTTTCATTTTAATTCTGGCTGGAAATTATCTCAAGACCTCAAATATGTGGCTCAGTTGGTAGAGCTGCTGCCTCTCAGCGAGAAGGTTGCTGGATCAAATCCCGATCGCGGGCCTTTCTGGGTGGAGTTTGCATGTTCTCTCCGTGCATGCGTTTTCTCCAGGTACTCTGGCTTCGTCCCACAGACCAAAAACATGGATGTTAGGTTGATTGGTGACTCTGAATTGTTACTAGGTGTGAGTGAGAGAGTGAATGTTTTTTTTGTCTCACTTGTCTCTACGTGTCCTTGGGATGGACTTGAGACCTGTCCAGGGTGTCCACACCTCTTGCACAGCAACTGCTGAATATGGGCACCGGTGACCCCTGTGACCCGGAAATGAAGAAGCAGGGAAAGTGCATGCATGGAAGGATAGATGGATGGTTGGATGGATGGATGGATGGATGGACCGACCTCAAATATGATGAAACCCATACAGGGGTCCTGACCCCAGCTTTGTGAATCTCTGGTTTAGATGACTTTATTATTCAACCTGTACCTGTTATGAAGCAGATGGCCACTTGTGCTGAGCCTGGTTTTGCTAAAGCAGGGGTCTGCAACCTGCGGCTCTGGGGCCACATGTGGCTCTTTAGTCTCTCATCTGTGGCCCTTTGAAGCTTTGACAAAAAACTAACGTGATATTTAATTTTATTTATTGTTTTTATACCCACAACCGAAAATGCTAATTTTGCAGTTGAAAATGCAGTTTTTCTGTCAATTTTCTGTAAATTTGTGAAGGATACTACTACTGGAGGACAAATTGACCATATTTCCTCACTATGCTGCTGCCTTTACTTGCCGTACTCTACCCGTTTTGCGTTTGTAACTATTTTTATCCTTAACATGTGTTTTTAGTCTTTCCTCCTATAGAAAGTACACCTGGACCTGCCATTCTGTTTCTCCTTCCTGTCCTCTCAAATCCCAGCCAGCTGAAGCAGACGGCTGCTCGTCCTGAGCTTGCATCTGCTGGAGGTTAAAAGGGAGTTTTTCCTTCCCACTGTTGTCTTCATACTTGCTCAGGATGGGAGACTGCAATGAAAAGGATTCAACACAATCTGCTGGCTTTGCTCCAGGATTGTTTTCTGGCTCATTTAAATTGTCCCCACTGTAAAAATATATGCCTGATATGAATGCATACCTCCATTAAAAAATCAGAATGTCATGCCTAATGTTTTGTATAGGGGCCTTTGCATTTTACCAAAAGGTGAACCAGGTCAGCTGAACTGAATGTGCAGCTATGGTGTTTCATATGATACTGAAAGAGACATGAGCATCTGTTTAATTTCAAATACTGTATTTGCTTTTAGGTCCAGGTCTTGAGGAAGCCTAACTGAATGTTTAAAAAAAGTTGTCCTTCTCCCAAACTTCCAGAAAAGACCAGCAACAATAAATTTCACTTATTTTTTCTGGTTTTATTATTTTGTTTTACACTTTACCTGCAACAACATGAGAAGCAGCGATAAATCAAATGAGTCAAACCTGAACAGAATATAATGTATTTATATAAAATTATATATATCTATATATATATATATATATATATATATATATATATATATATATATATATATATATATATATTCTGTTTTTATCTAGGTTAAAACAAATCTGTAAGTGACAAACAAGATGGAGTGACAAATATTTAGAATTGAAGGAAGCAGGTCTTTACAATAAAAAGTTGCAGGCAGTAAAAATAGAGGAAAAACTACACATTTAATCAGAAACCAATCCACAACACAAGGTTCAGAACTACTTACAAACACAAGTCTTTAATCATTTCATGTTGCTTTCTATAATTCAACAATTATTATTATACTATTCTATGGAATTTTAATTGTTTTCATGCTTTTTGTTAACATTTACAACACTTCGTCATATGCAAATGTTCAGAGGAGTATTTATCTTTTAAAACAAACTAAAAAGTGCATTATATATATCTTACATTTTGAACTCTAAAGTAAACATGATTTAATTTATGCATTGTTTGTAAAAGAAAAGAGTGAAAAGCAAAAAAAAAATTATAAGTGCTCAATTTTTTAGTTATTTTGAACAAATTTAATTACAATAATCTGGATTTTTCTACATAATATTATGAAACGAAGACGTATACTGTGTGTATCTTGTGTGTATCTTGTGTGCAAGTGTTCATTTTCTGATGTTTGCACACTTCTGACACAACAATAAGAACCACAAAGCAAAAAAAAAAGTAACATTTTTTAATTTTTAGAGTTCATTTTGCTGCATGTAGATTTTTTTTTTTTGCTGAATTTGCATGTTTTTACATGATGCCCACAGTCTGTCTCCATCTCGGTCGCAGTTCCTGTAACGCCGGGCAACCAATTCTACCCTCTTGTTCCTTTTTCGCAGCCGATTCAGCAGAAGAGGGTTATCCCTTCAAAAAAACAACACAAAAAGACTTTATGAATAAACACGTTCATCTCTTATCCAACACCAAAGACGGACTTCTTATCATGCAGCAAGCTGTACTTTTGCAAAGTATTCCCATATTTCAGTTTACTGTACAGAGCTTCTGC